GCACACGCACACACACACACACACACACACACACACACACACACACAAAGTGCATCTCTTTGGACTAATTTTGTGCAAACGGCACCACTTGCTGGCTAATCAGTAAGCTAGCCGATGGTGTATTTAAAAGTTCTTAAATAATTGATTTGAACTATTAGCAAAGGGTTTGCAAATGTGAGAACACTGGGAGCAAAACTGTGAGGTGTGTGAAATCACTGCAAACAACACATTTCATATAAATATTAATTAACAGAAACATGTTGATAAAACAGTAGCATTTAACTAAAATATGTACTACAACAATGAATTTGACTCAGAAGAATAGGTGAGTCAGTCATTTTGAACCAATTCATCAAAGCGATCAATTTATAAGGTCCCAGATGAAAGAAGAGGCATTTTCGGTTTCGGTCTTTTTTTTCTGTAGTGGTTTTAGTGGGTTTTAGCTGGTTTTTAGTGACTAGTTTTAGTGAATTTTAGTGTTTTTTAAATGTTTTTATCAATTTGTACTTTAGTTTTTTTTTTTAGGTAGGCTACATCAAGTTAAACTGCATGTAAATTAGACACTACTGTATCTGAAATAAAATACTTTTTTTTTTTAATTGTATATTGTATTTCTCTATATTGTTTCAGTTAACTTTTATTGCATTTCAGGTATTTATTTATTTATTTATTTTTGGGGATTAGCCTTAAAGATTCAAACCCAACCTTATGTTGGGTACAGAGCATTCATGCATCATTCTCTGAAAATTAACTCATAGCATGCTTTTTTTTTTTTTACATTTATTTTGTTAATCCAATTATGTGTGGAAATTCTTGGCAGTCTGAATCTTGGCAGTCAAATAATGAATCAAGAAGACAATGTTACCTTGTCTGATGTTGATGCACTGATTTATTCCTAATGAATGAATTAATGAATTATCCAATCTCCAAAGGCCTATCATAGATTTTGGCCAATGTAGTAATGTAGTACATCGTATATCATCCAGGTATTCCAGCATTTTCATTTGGGCAATATGTTTACTGTGCTCAATATACATATTGTGCACAGCAGAAATAGTACAGTAGCATGGACTTGCATGCATGTGCTTTTCTGAATAACATGCACATAGCATTCGAGCGCCATCTGCTGATCACAGCCGATGACGGACACTTGGCGCTTACAAAATATTAGTTTGCATTGCATTGTATTATTATTATTATTATTATTATTGTTGTTGTTATTTGGTCATTTCTGGGAGTTAATGGGGATTTGAGGGGTGTATTTTTATGTGAACTAAACTCTGAACACATATTAGCACATATGTGTTGTGGATATGAGCACTCTGCTATCAAACAGAAATAGTTTTGGCTATTATGCTTATGATTTCTGTGCTTCCTCACCAGATAGCTCTTGAAGCGGATGAACTCTACTCTGGTAGTCAGTCTTCTGTTGGCGCTGTGGCTCTGAGCTTTAATCGACTCCACCAGGTCAGAACAGAACTTATATCCTCCCTTCAGAACACACAGAACCATCATATCATGATGTCCGATGTCTTCAAGGATGTCTCTGGCCAGACACTCAATCATACAAATCACATTAGATCACAATGGCACAAACTCTGTGTGTGTGAGGTCATGTGATGTCATAAATTAGATTTAAGGGTCACATGATGTTAACAGGCAACCCAAAATTCTTTGGAATGTGATTGTGGAGCTAAGAAAGCACACGACTAAACAATGAAAAGTTGACAACATAAACTCTCTATATTACATATTTTTATGTATTACGCATTAATAAATTTTTTATGTATTAATTTCAATACAAAATGCCAGACATATTTAAGTAACAGAATCTCTTGTTCCACATAAACATTTTGCTTGAGTGTTTTGCTCCTCAGGTTTTTTCTCCTGAGAAAAAGATCCATGGAATCTCACATGTATTCTAGAGTTTCGAAGAGCTGTACAGCAATTGTTGATGGAGGTGCTCTGTGTCCAGCAGTGTGTTTACTTGTTCATAATGACTCCATGAGGGATGTACACACACTCCAGATCACCCCGATAATGCTCAGGATAATTAAACAGCTCCAAACTGTAACCTGACCAGCCATCTTTAATCTAAACCAACCAAAGACAGAACAAAAAAATAAAATAATTCATAGTAACGTTTAGTACAAGTAGAAATGCAAAAAGAAAATCACTAAGTAAGGATACAAAATTAACAAGCTGTCTGTTGCAATTGTAATGAATCAAATCCAGTATGTTAGGCATATTTACCACAACGCCTGGTTCTTTTCTCTGGTCAGATGCCATGTCAATGCTCGTATGTGTGAGAGTGAATTAAGCTGTGATACTTACTGAGAGAGAACCAGATGTCTGTGCACCCACCCATTTCACATGAGTAAACAGAGTGGGAGGTGTTTCCAATGTTTTCATTATCAAAATACTTTA